AACTCCCAGCAAACAACAGACTAACAAAATTGATACAAAACTCCCTAGAAATCTATAAAATTTGGGCATTTACATAATTCTTATGTACTTTTATATCTACATCTAAAATTTTACATTTACATGCATACCCTCATGCTTAAAGTTATGGCACTAAAGTAGTGTAAATGTAAATATTAAAGTTTAGGTGTTAGATACCTAAATACATAGGCAGTGCGGTACATATGTAAATTTCATATAAAATTTGTGGAAAAAAATCAAATTTTTAGTCTAGGAAACAAAATCTCTCCAAAAAACAGGGAAAAAAGACTTCCATCATGGCCGGATTTCAGAGAAGTATTCAGAGACATTTTCAAGCATAACTTTTGAAACATCATCGCCAGACAATTGAGAAACTGTAAAAGTTCACCACAGTGAAGACATGCAGAAGTAACCATGGCAGAATCCAACTGCCACAAAAAATAACCAACAAATTTAGCGAACAGTAAAAAAATAGTAAATAGTTTAGAGAAGCTTCAATTCGTAGCAATGAAAGCCTGCTTGTTCAGACAAATCTTCTTTTACGTAATTTAGGCTAAGCTGAAAAGCAAAGTTTCAATTCTATTTTGTTTGATTTTTAGTCATATAACAGACCTTTCAGTTTAAATAGTTTCCCTTTTTCTCATCATTTAGAATTAATGATGCATTTTCTGATTTTATTTTACATGTAAGCATAAAAAGTCAACCCTATTTTGTAGAAATGTATTTTAAATAGTTATTACTACGATTTTATCTATAATGAAATCATTTTAAATTTCATATGCTGACATTCTTGCTTATCCATTGCTATTATTCTCTTTTGATTTTTATCATTTTTATGTTGTCATGTGGTTTAGTAAAACTGGTTAATTATACATTAATCTCTGGCCCAATATAGTAAAAAAGAGCTGTAGTTAAGGATTTAGTACTTATCATTTTAAATTTCATATGCTGACATTCTTGCTTGTCCATTGCTTTTATTCTCTTTTGATTTTTATCATTTTTATGTTGTTATGTGGTTTAGTAAAACTGGTTAATTATACAGTAATTTCAGGCCCAATAGAGTAAAAAAGAGCTGTAGTTAAGGATTTAGTACTTATTTTAGAGATTTTATGAACATTTATTTCTTAGAGAATATAATCAAAACAATGAGATTTGATGAACAATATTTATAAAATAGAAAATACACTTTTGAACACATTTTGCCATTAAAAAGCTCCAACAAATTTATTGTCAAAAGAATGGTACCATAAGATGGAAACCATGAATTGTAATTATACAATTTTGACCCTTGAATTCTTCATTGAATAGGATTGCTCATCCTTCTATGTTAGCCAATAAGAGAGAGCATTTTTTGTTGCCCTATAATATCAATTGTCCATGAACAAGTATTGCTATTTTACACGGACCATTGATAAACATCCACACTTTATTCTGGCGCTCATCAGCAACTTTGCTAGCACAATCAGCAAATGTTTAATGCAATCTTGTAACTCTCATCGCTCTTGAAAACTAACACATGAGATTTTTATTCTTTGAGACCTTAATATTATAATCTCATATGCATAGAAAGAAGGCAAACCATTTATAGTATATAACTCAAGCTAGTGAAGCAATGTGTGCTTTAAAAGACACTAACAAAAGTGCACTTTATTATCTCAAGAGATGAAGGACAAACACTCGTCATGGATTTAATATATAAGAGTGCATGAATACTATTTTTTTCAAGAATGTTATTTCTAAATTTTTTTGAGAAAGTTGTATAATCTCTAAACAAACTAGAAAACTATATATTTGAATCTGTTTTTTATTTACTTTCATCACTATCACATACAATAAGAAACTTAACGAAATTATTTTACATTATCTTAGAGCAATTGAAAATTAGTGAACTTGTTAAAGTGAACATTGAATAAAACAAAATTAGTAGGAAAGAAAAAAATAAATTTAATAAAATTATATTAAAAATATAATATAGACTCATGGTCTCTAAGGGAGGTGACTCAATTTAATTTGGTTTATTATTTTTGTAAATAAATTTGAATCTTGAGCATTTATCATAGCTTTTCCCAATCTCAACTTTCTCCTTGTCTTTCTCTAACCCATTTATAATGATTCATCATACATTTTTTACCTAAACAATTTTGAAGATAATTTTATGTTATTGTTTGTTGAATCATAAGTTTAATGTTGACTCACACATCATTAAATGAGTTTAAAAGAAGGGAGAGTGAGCTAAATGAGAGGAAAGTCACCATTTCTCTTAGAGGAGAAGATTTGTTTTAGATACAACCTCCGCCCCCAGAGATCGATCCTCTACTTTTTTCATTTTTTACAATGTTTATTCTTATTTATAAGGGTTTAAATTATACATGACAAATAAAGTATTTATTTTACACAAATTTCACGAAATCTTTGATCTAGCCTATTTATAATCACATATAAATAAGATTATTCTAATAATTCATTTCCATGACACTCATTCCTCATAAATATTCATCCTTGATGTTCTGCTTCTCATAATATTCCTATCAGCTAGTTTGATCTTGATATGAGTTATTTGGGAGAGTTTTTCAGGGATAGTTGTTCTCGGAGAACACTCCCGAGAGAGTTAAATGAATTCAAATGTTGGATTAACTTTGATGTTCACTTGGGTGAATTAGTTGATCTAGTAGACAAGTTCAACTATTTAATAAATTTAGTTGTTCTCCTGGATGAGTTCAACACCTAAACCTTGTTCTCTTGGACAACTTCTGCTTTTATGGTCATTTAGTTATTCTTATGGATGAATTCGTCTATTCTCTGAATGAATTCAGCTATTCTCATAATGTTATTCTCATAATGAATTTAGCTCTTTGATTAATTGGGTAGCCCCTTTGGATGAATTTAACTTATGAATAAATTCAACTATTCCCTATACAAGTTTAGGTATTTGACATGTTCAGTTGTTCTTCACAAAGAATTCAACTGCTGGATGAATTCAATTCCTCGGAGAGTTGATTGGCTACACCTATTGAACCCAATTTTGGGCCTTTAGATAATGCAAATTTAATTCTCTAATTATTTGATCTCTTTAAAAGGTAGCTACATGAAAAATAAAGATAGAAATTATACCCTCTTAGACTTTATATAAGGCAAGTACATGCTACATCAATCCCAGAAAAAAAATTGTTATATATATACCCGCTTTATCCCGCTTCTTAGCTCATTCTGGGGATAAGTATTTGTCGTTCTTCATGATACTCAGAGGTGCTCAAAACACCGGTTTTCAGTGGACAGATTATTGTCAGATTGCTTTCAAGCAACTCAAGGCATATTTTGCTTCACCGTCCCTCCTCTCTAAGCCCATCCAAAGAGATATGTTATATATCTATTTGGCAATTTCACCTCATGCAATAAGCTCTGTTCTTGTCAGAATAGAAAACTCAGTCGAGAAACTAGTATATTACGTTAGCAAGATTCTCTCTGATACAGAAAGTCGTTATCCAATGGCAGATAAGACTGCGCTTGCCCTGGCTTTCTTAGCAAGGAGACTTCGTTCGTACTTCCAGGCTCACACTATTGGCGTCTACACGCAACTCCCTTTGAAGGCTATCCTATGAAATTCAGAAGTATCAGAAAGATTAGTTAAATGGTCAGTAGAATTGGGAGAATTTGACATCCATTATTTACCACATCCAAACATCAAATCACAGGTGTTGGCCAACTTTGTGGTAGAATGTACAGTGCCTACCTCTGATGAACCACCCTCTTCTCTTCCACGGTCACCTCAGTGGATAGTATATGTAGATGGAGCATCTGGAAACTCAGGAGCTGGTGCAGGAATACTACTCATCTCCCCAAAGAAAGATATTTTGGAGTATGGACTTTGTTTGAAATTCCTAACCACCAATAATGTTGACAAAAACACTAGTCATTGAATTAAAGCTTGTAATCAACTATGAAGTATAAAACGTGATTATCTACACTGATTCTCAACTCATTGTATCCCAAGAAGAAGGAGAATTTGACGCTCATAACTCACAAGTGGTGCAGTATCTCAGTCTGGTAAAAACACTTCTCACCCAAATTGAAACATGCCAGCTAATTCACATACTTCAGAAGCATAATAGCCGAGCTGATGCCCTCTCCAAGCTTGCAACTTCAACAACTAGAGACTTCTATAAAAGAAGGTGTATTGAGGAGATACATTTTCCTAGCATCCATGTTTCATGGGTGATAATGTCTATAAATGACCCGAGGGAGCCATCTTGGATGGATCCCATCATCTCCTTCCTCCGAGACGGAACATTGTCAGATGACAGATGATGTTATTACATTAATTTGCATCTGATGCATGACTGCTAACTTCATCCTTATAGAGGATGAACTGCATAAGAAGGAATTTGCAGGTTCATATCTCAAGCGTCTTCCTCCATCTGAAGCTGATTACGCTCTACGAGTAGTTCACTCTGGAATATGTGGGGAGCATCTTGGTAGCAGGGCACTTGCTCTTAAAATAATAAGGCAAGGCTTCTACTGGCCCACTATCAAGCAAGATGCATTAGAGTTTGTGCAAAAATGCAAGAATTTCCAATTGCACTCCAATCTTACGCATGCACCGCCATTGGAGCTCACATCTTTTTTGAGTTCTTGGTTTTTCGCTCAATATGGGTAGATATCATGGGGCCTTTTTCGATAGCTACTAGACAACAAAAATTCATCATCTTAGTATGGGGCCTTTTTCGATAGCTACTAGACAACGAAAATTCGTCATCTTAGTTGTGGACTACTTCACCAAATGGGTAGAAGTAGAGCCTCTTGTCAAGATCACTGAGGCCAATGTCAAACAATTTGTATGGAAAAACATCATCTGTCACTTTGGGCTTCCTAGAAAGATTATCATTGAAAATGGGACTCAATTCACTGGAAGGGTCTTCACATTATTCTGCAAGGATCTTCAGATCTTCACATTTAGTTGGTGCTAGTTGGTGCACACTATTGTGATGCATCCTCAAACATATGGACAAACAGAGGTGACAAATCGAAAGGTGCTCAAGGGGTTGAAAACTCATCTTGAGAAGGCTGGGGGGCAGTGGGTAGAAGAGTTGCATAATGTCCTCTGGACCTATCACACCACCTCACAAACGCCTACTGGGGAAACTCCATATAACTTGTGTTTCGGCACTGAGGTTGTCTTCCCCACTGATATCAAAGTTCCAAACCCCCCAGTCAAGACTTTCAACTTGGATATCAATGAGAAAAAGCTCCGACAACAGTTGGATCTTCTCCCAGAAATACGTGATGTGGCCCACCTCAGAGTTACTTCCTACTGTCAAAGAATTGCTTTCAAAGAATTGCTTGCCACTTCAATCGAAGAGTAAAGCCTCTACCTATCTCTATTGGTGACTTGGTTTTGCATAGTATCGAAGTCGCTGGTCATGGTCCCCAATGCAACAAATTATCCCCTCTCTGGGAAGGTCCATACATCGTAGCTACCATGATCAAGCCTGGAACCTTCAAGCTCAAAGACTCAGATGGAAAAATCCAGCCCCGGACTTGGAATGCCATGCCGAGATTCTTGGAAAATACTACCAATACCACTTCAGACATATCATTTATGTCATATTATGTCAATGTATTTCAGATTTATTTTATTGCTAAAAAAAAGAATATCTTTGAAAAGTATAACGGCTCATTCACGAGTCACTTTATGCTCTCGGCCTGAGAAATACACAACTCTGGTTGTATCTTAGTCAGAGCACGATCGATCCCATGAGAATTTGATTTGAACTCTTAAGTAACATCGTTAATTTTTTACTCTGATAAACAACCCTAAATAGGTTAATAGTCCTTGGTGGACTACACCTAATCCCTTCCACATAGGTTCAAAAGCAAGAAATGCGCCAGCAAACAACCTTGGATGGGTTAATAAGTCCTCGGTGGACTTTCTTTGGCTCCTCCCATACATGTTAAACATCACTGAGTAATATTTTGATGCATAACCTCAGTTAAGTAAAAGGCCGCTGGCAATTTATTCCCACGGTAACCTTCTTATATGACATTGGACATCCAACGTGTCACACCACTGTGATGCTTCGCCCAGTGCGTCGTTGTGACGCACTACCACAACGCGTCACCGTGCCACAACACATCACTACAACGCACCGTCCCAATGCGTCGTCACGCCACAATGCGTCGCCATAACCCACTGCCACAACGGGTCACCACGCTACAGCACATTGCTACGATGCACCTTCTCAATGTGTCATCACTCCACAACGCATCGTCGTGATGCACTGCCCCAACACGTCGACGCACTGCAACACGTCGTCACGCAGCCACACATTATCGAGATGCATTGGGAACGAAATTATTTAAAAACATATAAAAATTGTTTTGTGTCAAATAGGAGCAATCATATTCTTTACCCTCTTCCAAGTGCTATAAAAATCATTGACTAATCCAGAGTCTGGTCCCTAATTTCATTGTTAGGCTGGGCGGATACAGGCTGCCACTCCAGAGCTCCCATTACTCCCTCATCTGAGAGCTAACAATCTCTCATCAGTTTCCAATCAACTGGACCAAATTGGGGATTTTAATCTATCACCATAAAATCTCCACTGCATCTAATAAAGTATATTTCTCTATTTATTTGCAGTCAATTATATGGATGACATACTCTCCCATGAAATCAAATGTGATTCTCCCTATGTTGTAGAAATCATAGCCCTTTCGAAACTTATGTTTCTCAACACATTTTAACATTTCAATTAGTGAGGTCAAAAAATAAATGAAGATCGAGTTCAAATCACCACAAATTTTTAACATTTAAAATTGTATAAAATAAAATCATTTCTTCACAAAATCATATCTCAAAGTAAGGAGAAGGATAAAGAAGATTACTCATAATTCATGAGAAGGATACGACAAAACATGGATTTCATATAAGTTTACAAAATAAGGAAAGAAAAGAACACAACTTACCTCACAATCTTTCCCAAGCAAATCCCTAGAAGTTCTCTTCAAGCACTTTCCCTCTTTACAAGTACTCTCAATTCTCTCCTAGAAATGTAATGAAGAAGAAATATGTCACCTTCCCTCTTCTCTTACAATCCTTGAAGAAAATCTTTGAGCCCTTCCTCTCAATCTCACACCACACACACACACACACGCACACAAACACAATTTTTTCCCTAAACTCCTCTCCTTTTAATTAGAAGCTGTCTTCTTTCAAAAAGAATTCAAAATTCCATCCAGAATTCTATCCAAAGGTTAAACCTTTTGAATTCCAAAAGACATGTACATTGATTCAAGAAACATATCCATTAATGAAAGATCCTTCCAAAATGTATAGATGCATTGAATGACTCCAAGGGGCGTTTGAATCATTCGGAGCCTTCAAAATCCGCTCAAAATTTGTCTAGAACCGCCTTAATCCATCTTATATCGTCTCTAGTACTTATGGCGCCAGTTCGAGTACATCTAGTGCCATTTCTGGCACATGTGGCCCCATTTCTAGCACATTTGGCTCCATTTCTCTTGATTCTTCCACATCTAGCGCTAGTTCTCTGGACTTTGGCGCTTCTGGCTCCAGTTTGGTGCTTCTCGCTCCAGTTTGGCACATCAGGCGCCACTCTGTAGCAACACCACCATTTTGCTCCATTTAGATCCATTTCAGCTTTGCTTCACCTCGTTTTAGTGGTGTTTTACTCCTAACAAATATACTTAAAAAATAAGCATAAAAACAACATTTCTCAATAGTGTAATTTTATTTAAAAATATGTGATATATATAAAGTAGATTAAGCATAACAAGACATATTGAAATGTGCAAAGTCGGAATTTTCTTTCTTGTTCTTTTTTACTCCAAATTTCACCATTTTTTCTTCCTTTTCTACAAAAGTTCCATTTCTTGTACCTAAAACCAAAAATATGTAAAATATATTCATTTAAAGTGTAATATCCTTAAAAATCATTAAAATTGTGCCTAAAATATATATGAAAAAGTAGGTAATTTTTAGTCGTGTAATCCAACATCAAGTTGCTATAAGATAGTGTCGAGGCTCTATA